GTGTGTGTGTGTGTGTGTTTGTGTGTGTATTGTTGTATTCACTGATTAAAAGAGTTCTTGATTGTACTGTGGCATGATAGCAGTATAATCTTGTAGGTCAAGTCATCAGCAACAAATGGACATTGGCCTTTTGCATCAGACGGCTTGCTGTGAAAACAAAATGTTGAGAAATGAGGTCTTTGACTTCCTGGCTCTAACTCAGGTCACAGTTACTATAGGTTAGAGTTGTAGTTCATTCTCCTTTTTTCATTGCAACTATCTGACAAAATGGACCACATAAAGTTTTGCCCACTTACTCCTCTTTTAAATGAGGACAGGAATGTTTAAGCCGCAAAGAAGGAATAAAAGTCTAAAGAAGGTAGGATGTGAAAAACAGGGAAATAAGACAAAAAATACAGTTTGAGCAACGGAAACAAAAAAACATTCACGTCTGTTAGATAAACTGCTCAGCATTGTAGTAAGCACTCAGTTAATTTAAAAGTAATCATCTAACATGTAAGTAATGGCGATTGCATATTTCAGCAGAATGATTTTTTTCCCATTAAAGTTTTACTGTTGCTGATGCATAAAAATAAAACTTACTTTCCCCTTTTATTAAGTGTGTGTGTGATACAATGAGACTTTTAATTAAAAAATAATAATATTTATACAATTGCAAATGTTTGTAAGTCAGACTTCTCAATTCTTGAATCAATACACAACAGAAGTTACAATAAGGCAAACAAACAAACAAAAAACGAACAACTGAAAAAAAATATTTTCAGATACAGTCTGATCTTAACAATTTACATAATCTTTACAAAGACAAATTTTTATTCAGTATTCAATGCAGTCTAGTCATTAATTATTAAAAAGCAATAAAGCACTTTTTCTTTTTACACAGTTTGAAATCTTGGCCACCACTCCAGATTTTAGAATTGTTAATAATTATATCACTACTGAAATGTGTTATTTCACGTGATGAACTGATCCCTTAGGAAAGTACATATCTAAATATACTCAATATACAATTTAAATTTGATGAATCTTTCTGCTTTTTTTAATCAATGCATACATTAGAATACATTTCATTACAATTAATGTCATTCAGAAAGTGCTGTAACAAAGTTCATAGATTTAATTCCTCCACTGTTGCCATGTGCCAACACAAGCTACCTAAACACTATTCCCAAAGACATTGATTATTTTATTAGTACAGTTACATCCTTGCTGCATATGACCCTGGATACTCTGGATACTCCTCTGAAAAAGAAAACCTAAAATCAGAAGTAAAATCAGAAGTACTTGTCAGCCTTAAATGAGAACCCAAAGCTGAAGATGAAATTCTGTCTCACTAATGTAGAAGATCCTAATTTATCCTGGAAAAAGACCATCTAGACCATCTTTCTACTTGTCACTGATTGAAGACAATAAGGACAACCTTGAGTTTTTTGTTGTTAGGCTGACAAAAAGTCATAGCTCTGTTTAGCTAATGATCAATAAAGCCAGTAGTTAAGTCCTCTGATCTTAACTAGTAATGACTTTATTAATTCCCACACAAATACAGTCCTAAAACTATTAGAAACATGGATTTAAGATCTTAGTTTTGTTTGGCTTTTCTCTTTATTATTGTAGTCTTTACCTTACAAGATAAAATATCTACAGACAAAAATTGTTGAGATTTTTTTTTGACATACTTGTGACTATCACTTGTAAATGATAGTTAAACAAGTAGTGGTTTTTGAATTCTAATCTAAGAGTTATTTTTCAGCACACAATCTTGCTGAATAAAATTGAGCATGTCTCTATCATAATCAGCATTCTGCATTTTGCATTCTTTGTCTAACATTTAGATTTGTGTGATGGTCACATTTAAATGTGACAAACATAGAAAGAAATAGGACATCCGGAAGGGACAAACACTTTTTCCACACTACTGTAACTACATCAGTGCTGACCACTAAAGTGGGCAGAGACACCTCAAGGTCACCACTTGTCCATGTTGCATGGTGTTTGGGCCACCCTCCTGAAACGCAGCGTGCTTACAAAGTGAGATGCACATAGGTTTTGTTTAAAGACACTTCTAAGATGGAAAACAGGTATGTTTTTCATTTTTATGACTAATACTGATTTATTTTTATTAAAGCTGATTTGGATTGATGATTGATTGGTAATTTATTTCAACATGTGAACAATTTACAGGTACATTTAGAAAAGAAAATAAGAGAGAAAAAAATACTATACAAAATACATACAAAAAAAC